ATGTGTTTTTTGTATATCAGATCACCAGCCATCATATTTAGGTGCAAACAAAACAGCACAGATCATCCACATTTATATGAATGATCTCAAAAGATTGAAAACTGCAGCACAAAGCAGGGGCAGTTAAACCTCTGTTTTTGGGAACCAGTGAAGTAAATGGGGTCGGTTAATTAAACATCTAATCAGGACTTGGGGTGGGAAATATAAATGGTATATATCGATTTATCTTGTAGCTTACCTTTGTGCATTCATATAAGTAGGGCAGTGTCGGGTTTGAAATTAAGAATGCAAACTAAAAGCTACCCATTAATAGGTAGGAGGTACAGCTGAATACCCGTCACTCTCTGGAGGGCACCAAAAATCGGAATCGGGATAAACAATGAAGGGGCTGGCATCGATTATCGGTATCAGGATAAAAACTGAAGGGGCTGGCACTAAATATCGATAATAGGATAAAAACTGAAGGGACTGGCACCAAATATCGATAATAGGATAAAAACTGAAGGGACTGGCATCTAATATTGATATTGGGGTGAAAGCGGTTTTACCCATCACTCTCCGGATGGCACCCAATATCGGAATCAGGATAAAAACTGAAGGGGCTGGCACCAAATATCGATACTGGGGTAAAAATGGAAGGGGCTGTCACCTAATATCGATACTGGGGTAAAAATGGAAGGGGCTGTCACTGAATATTGATTTTGAGATAAAAACTGAAGGGGTTGGGACAAAATATCAGTATCGAGATAAAAACTGAAGGGGCCGGCATTAAATATCGATATTAGGCTAAAAACTGCAGGGGCTGGCACCGAATATTGGTATCAGGATAAACACTGAAGGGGTTAGCAAGAAATATCAGTATCGGGGTAAAAACTGAAGGACCTGGCACCGAATATCGGTATTGGGATAAAAACTGCTGGACCTGGCACCGAATATCGGTATTGGGATAAAAACTGCTGGACCTGACACCGAATATCGGTATTGGGATAAAAACTGCTGGACCTGACACCGAATATCGGTATTGGGATAAAAACTGCTGGACCTGACACCGAATATCGGAATTGGGATAAAAACTGCTGGACCTGACACCGAATAT